GATTGGATTTTAAGTGTGCTATGCGATGAGCTGTACGAGATATATGACGACATTGACCTAGTTCAGCGAATTAAAAGACAGCGGCTATGCTGGCTAGGTCTTGTTGTCCGAATGGACGGAAACACTCCAGATCTGAAGGTATTGGACGCTGTACCCGTCAGGGAGAGGAGAGGAAGAGGAAGACCTCCACTCCGTTGGAAGGACCAGGTAGAGAAGGACCTGGTTACGCTTGGAATATCTAATTGGCGCCACGTAGCGAAAAGAAGAAACGACTGGCGCGCTGTTGTTAACTCGGCTATAATCGCGTAGTAAGCGGTGTTTACGCCAATTAAGAAGAAGAAGGAAGTTTAGTTTTTTGTTTTTTTTTGTTTTTGTATATAACATCATATAGTACATGCTTGCATAAAACGATTTTATATGCATTAACCCTTTTTACGACCTCCTATCATATTGTATTTAGTGCCGATTTTTTCTCTTTTCTTGTCAAATAATTTCGATATGGTTATATTAGCTTCAATTAAGTGCGATAAAAATATTATAGTTTGCCAATCAAACCGATTCAACACAATTTTGTGTCCATTCGTGTTTGATAATGTGTGGTTCACATAAATTGTACCACAGGCACAAAAGATGTATGTGTAATCCTCAAAACGTTCAAAATTAAAAATACTAAACTTAAAGGATATAGTATATGAGAATAACGGTATTAACTTACTAAGAATTAATTATTAAAGTTCACTCTGGCGATTTTATACCCTTAGCGCTATTTATTTTAGCCAATACTTATGTGACTCCTTTGCGGAATATTTTTATAGCTTCTTAAAAATGTGAAATTTTGGAAATAATTTAAATTTGATTCGGTGTGCATAATTCTACTAATTCATAACAATTAGAGTTCGTCCGACTTCTATTCCATCTGAATTGATTTTCCTATGATAAGTTAACTATGAATGCGAATACTATAATAATTAAAGTATAACAATATTCGTAGCGTAAACACATTAATATGCACATAATTAATAACCTGACCAATAAGTAGTCTACCCACACAGTCGTGCTGTGCTATCGGTTGTTGTYCGCTGTAGTATTTGAATTGCTTAACGTTCATCTTTATTATTAATGTGAGAATTTTAAAACTTTTTAGTCTCACTTACAACATTGGGTTTTTAATTAGTTATATTTTACATTTTAAACTTTTTTCGTTGCTTTAGTTACCTTCTTTTGGGAAATTAGTTTAAGTCGTAGATTACAAATCAGTATTTACATCTCACGAAAAAAATTTTCCTTCTTTCATAATTTAAGCAAATAATTATTCGAATAATACTCCTAAACTGAACCTTCTCTACCTAGGAGTACGTATTCATAAAACCGCCCTATATTAAATTTAAGGTTGAACTTTTCGAAAAGTTTAGTTGTTATTTTATATATGTATGCAATATGGTATGTGCTGAAAAGAATTTGAGTTATTTTCCTATCGTACTGAATTAAACTATAATACTGTCAAAGGTACTTGCCATATCAGTTATTGGTCTTAAAATGACACCACCTCTTCTATATTTGTTATGGTTAAACCATGGTTTGTAACATTTTCAGTATTTCAAAGGAAGGCGATGGGTGCAGCATTTTTGAGAAGACACGTCGATCCTTAGGACAAATCCGTGAATAAATAGTTTTACCACACGTTAATGAATGAATTGAATGTCGAGATCAAAATTAGGCCCACAACTTTTCAGCTCATATAGTACATTCAATATACTAACGTTCTAAAAAATGCAATGCAATCGATGTGAGGCGAAAATTATATTGCTCATTGTAATTTTTTTCATTTACTCAGAAAATTTAAATTATTTTCGAATTCAAAATTCAAAACCTAAATTAACCTTCACATTTAATAAGCAATGATATCCAAGCGATCAGCAAGTTTTGTTATATTTTACATTTATAGTGATCCTCGAAATCAAAGTGAAGAAAGAAATAAAAGAAATGTTACAAACATTCACAAAAACTATAAAGGAAATACAGATAGTAGCATTTTAATTTATATGAGAATTTCGCTAAACTGGTCTTGATGTGAAGATGCGAGACGATAATGTTAAGCGTAACAACCGCAACCGCGTATACTAAAGTTGTAATTGAAGAGCAACCAAAGGGAATACCATACGCACGTCTAAAATACTGGTCGGGTGGTCACAACCACTGAAGCTTTGGAATCAATAGCCACACTTCAACCACATTCGATCGAATAAAGCCGTAAGCATACATGTGGCTTACGAACGAGGTGAAGGGAAATATTGTGAGGTCTTGTGTGCGTCCGACCCGTGTCAAAACATGCCATAATATGCTAGACACCTCACACAACACGTAGGATGTTGATTACGTATCCCCAGATATTTCTGCATTTAGCGCAAAATAAAACCAAACAGACGGACAAAGTTCGGTGAAGTTATATGCATGCAAAAAAAAATATATATATATATAACCAAAAGTGGTGACCATAAAGCGCTAGCAAAAAGAAAAACTCAATGTATAACGTAAAACAGTTTGTTTTCAATGCTAAAACGATATATTAATAAACACAGACCTACTAAAAAATTCCGAACTCATAATATTTCCACGCTTCTGCTAGCAGATACTGATTTCTCTTCAATAGAATAATTAATCGCAGGTTTGGTTCTAAAATCAATCGTGGTGAAAATGTCTTCAACACAGATAAGAAATAATTTCTAATTAGACCAGTGAAGTGATTTCTGCAATGGTTTTCTTTACCAGTTTTTCCGAACTTGTGAGACTCGTTGGATGAAATCGCAGTTGATTTCGTATCGTAAAAACTCCAATATGTTCAAAGGTGGTTATTAWCTAAGCACATAGATATTTGGAAGAAATATTATCGTAAAAAGATAATTTTCTTCATCCAATGTGCTCGCGTCAAAACCTCCTAATCTTCTCCAGCATCTTAAATTTTTATAAATGTTTTTTTTTTATTTTTTTAAAATATATAAAACATATATGGCGGGAAATCAACAAATTGATTAGTGTGTGATATAAATATAAATTAGGCACTATTTATATAAATSTATTCCGATTGGTTAACAATACGTACTTTTTATTAAGACCATTTTCACTAAAAGATAGGATTAATTATGGCAGTCAGATTTTGTGCGTACATTCAGAATGACGGAAATTAAAAAAACGAAAAACTTTGAGTATGTTTTATATATGCTCATTGAACAAACATTTATTTATTAGTTCATTTGTGAGCCTCCTATTATAATATAATTTTTTAAAATCTTGTCCATTGTTCTTGCTTAAAGCTAGGTGGAATGACGATAATTATTATATGAAGTATATGGGAGTTGGTGGTAAAATCAACCGGATTTTATCTATTTTTGCCAATACGGCAATACTAGGGTTTCATTAGGGTACCTCACATACAATCACATATGCGATAGTCTCTCGGAAATCTTTGTGTTAGGTATATGCGAGCTAAGGCAAGTTTTGACGCGATTCTACCCATTTTTTACCAAAGAACACGAGTATCAAATTTCTTAAGGATATCTTTACATTTTTTTAGCATGTCATAATTAGAGAAAATCAATTGAGTAGAATATTCAAGAGGTCAAGAAATTTTATAAACATTTCAAAATTATAAAGAGTTAAGAGGAATTACGATTGCTTAAATTGATATTAAAAAAATTGAGCTTTTTATTTTGTATGCCAAATCAGAATAAATTAAATAAACTTATACCGTTCTCATATGCTTGTTTAAAATATAATACAATAAATAATTTTTTGGTTCTTATTGATATTAATAATTTTTATAACCACTAAAAAGCATTGAGCTGTTTCACAATATATAATATAACTTATTTATATATTCATTATCTGTACTACCGCAGAGTTATCGCAGGAAATGTAATCTCACATACATACATTTATTTGCCCTTTAATCTGTCTTAGGTAGTTATTGCTTAAATGTATTCTGAGTTTCTACTTTGAAGATTGGTTGTTTCTTTGATAATGAATTTGACGACAAAATATGGGCAAACTAAAAATGTTTTAAAAAATACCACCAAAGAGATGTTCATTCACAAAAATTTTAATTTCCCCAGGAAATTATTGGGCAAAATCCGAGCGCACATTTGTTAAATTTGGTACTAAGATCAAAATACTCAAAGGGAAGGCCAATCACTTGTTGTTTATCAGGCTTGTTAAATGTTAATTTTTTTTTGAGATTTTGTTACATATTTGTTAAAAATTATTTGTTAAATGGTTCACAGGTTAAGGCGATAATCTGCACCAAAAGTAGTAGTTGGTTATTATTGCTTTATTGATCACCCACAGGCCGCACATCCGACGGTGTTCATAACATTGCAATTATCATAATATTGTTTACATTACTAGTATAAGTGTACACCTCTTTGAACAGTTGTGTTGGTAAACTTCGAGTTATTTCTGTGGCTTTTCCCAAAGAGCTCGTAGGTCTCTGGCTAAAAAAATGGCTCACTACAAAGTGTTTTTAAAAAATTTAAATAAAAAAATTTAAAAATCATCGGGGAAATTTATAAAAGGTCTTACGTGCAATTGAGATAAGTGCTTACACAATTAGCAAGTAGAGAATATGTGATAGTATATTAAAACAAAACAACGCTAATTTTATTTGAAAAGGTAGCAGTATAGTTATGTCATTCCGTAACCATCACCTTCGAAACTTTGCCGTAACTTTACTTATTAAAATGAATTAGAATGGTTTTAAAATTATAGCCCTCTTATAGGGACTTAACTATTCGGGGACAATTGTAAATTATATATATCATCTACAGCTACATTATGAGTATTTAGCTCAATATATCATAAAGTTTTAATATGTTTATATTTCTTTTTGTTTCATTAATAGTAGCAGATATTATGAATGTATCAGATAATAGTTAATTTCTTTTAATTTTCATTTAATAATCACATTGCAATGTTTACATATTTTAATAAAGCTTCGTGCGTCCTACCTGCGATAGCCATCCACGGGTAGAAAGTATGATTGGTGGCTTGATGTAAGCTACTAGCACTTTGAGCCGCTGCCGCCCCAGAAATTGTGCAATTTGCATTCCATGCGGTTCCTGCACCGCCAACTCCTACACCACCGCCAACACCAACACCGCCTACGCTGCCAACAACTCCAGCGCCACCTTGACCGGCACCAACGACTCCACCACCAGTTCCACCACTTCCGCCACCACTGCCACCTCGATGGCTTACCGGGCTTCCACCTGAAGTGTCCAAGTATCCACCAACACGGGAGTCTGGAGTGCAAGCGGATGGACGCACTGGCATGCCACCAGCAGGATTGTTCTGTCCATTATTATTTGACCCGTTAGAACCACCGCCTGAGCCACCACCACCTCCAGAACCACCACCGCCACTCGCACCATTCGCACTGGTATTCCAGATATCTTTATAACCATTGACTACGGAGTCGGCTTTGATATTAAGACAGTCCTGTTTGTAGGCGCCATCACTGTAAATTTTGTTACAAGCCGCTGTTATACTTGCGTCGTAGGGAGAATCCTGTGTGGTGCGTTGTAAATGATGATTGGCATAAGGCGACATGCCCAAAGACAGCGGAAAGCCACGATAAGCGGCTGCGGCCGCTGTAGCTGTCTGATCATGGTGACCTCCAGTACTCATTGTCATACCGGATGTCTGATGCGGGTGGCCATAAAAACCAGCCGAAGCCTGTTCAAAGTAGGAATTCATACTGCCAGCGGTAAGAATTTTGGCGGTTGTAGTGTTGTCTCGGGAGAAAAGCTAAACCTGATTAGGCTTTAGCTTTGGTTGGAGTCACTTGCCGTGGTAAGGTATTTTTGCTTAGTATTTTATTTTCAAGAGAAGTAGTATGTTTGGATTCACTTAATTTCAAATTTCGGTCGTTTGGTTTTCTACAATAAGTTCTGACACAAACCTACATAATCCCTTTGAGTTGTCATTTGTTTTAGCATAATTTTATTAAATTTAATTTATCTCATTTGTGTATTTTTTTTACCAAAATAAACGTGAATATTATAATAATTGCACCAAAAGTTATATCACGGTTAATGTCCACTCGTAATTGATGTTGTAAATTTTATTAATTCCATTTAATTTGATTACTGTTTCTATATAAACCACTTTCTATCACCAACATTTTTTTTTATTGTTTGCTCTATAAGTTTGCACTTTTAAAGTTTGTATTAATKTTATTTTCCTAGTTCACAAATATTTGATATTTTTCACAATGCATACTTTGTCAAAAACAATTGGCCAACCCGGCTCATAGAAACGTCATCAACATAACACTACGAACGACAACCACAATCAACACAATAATCGTTAAAATAATAGTAATAGCGACAATAATAATAATAATCAAATTTATTAGCGTCAATGCCACCAAACCGAGATTTCGTTACGAACGCTGCCGCAGCTCTGAACAACTGTCTAACTCACTGCCTGACTGYCAGACGACTGTTGCTGTTACTACTGCTGCCGTTTGCGTTTTCGTTTGCTGTACAGACTTTTAATCGTCACTACCGCGATTCTATATTACTCTAATTTGACACTACTACACTGCACCACACTGAACGTCGCAGCGCTTTGATATGCGTTGCCGCCTTACGATAGCGTTGTGATAGTAGTCCGATAGCGAAATATTCGCCGAATCAAAACGCTGTCAATGGTATTAAACCGCTGCCGTCGTTGTCGATGTTTTCGGTGCTGTCACTATCACTATTGTTTTTGCTTTTGTTATTTCATATTTTACCAACTAGAACTGTTTGAGTATGATGGCATTAGCTGTACTAAATAGTACCAAACAGTGAATCGAACGTTAAAAGACCACAAAGGCAATAACAATAAATGGTGATAAAGTGGATAATAAAACAATGCGCTCGCCTGCTGCTCCAATCCGAACCGATGCCATCGAGCGAATGTGCCATCAAAATGCCAGTTTGTTGTATTTTGACTGACGTCGATTACGTTTGCAATATACCCAACAACGACTAGCACGACGAAAGCGATGAAACGGCCTAAACCATAACGACAATTGCCACAGCGACGATGATGACGTCGACGACAGTGAGAGAAACAGCGAGAAACATGCACTCTGTTGTGCTGTTGTTGAGCTATTCTGCCGCTCTGTTGTGGTCGCTCTGTTTTCGTTCCACCAACGAAATATTAATGAGGAAAAGAAAGGCAACACACTGTYACCACCACCACCATCATAGAGATAAACATTTATCAATACCTCACCACTTCTACAACAACACGTATGGGAACAAAACTCAGAGCGCTGAGAGGATCAGATCGAAGAAATTTTTAACTGGGAGTAGAATCGAGTAACATAGGGTTGAACGCATAGGGTATATGAGAGCAGGGGCAATATATATATGTACATATACATATGTACTATGAGTATAAACATACTTGAATAAACTACCATAGCTATGTGGAACAAAGGGCTATGATACTTCTTTCGGTTTAATTCATAATGTTATCAGTTGAGTTTGGTTTGGCAGTTGATAAGGACGTGTAGAGTCGAGAAGAATGATGTAAGAAAGTTAACAATCTATAGCTTGTACAAATAAATTCAGTCTTCTGTAAAATTTACATATGTGCAAAAATTATAAGTATTTTTAATAATTTATTCCTACTCTTATGACACTGCGCCCTTAGTTAAATTAATCGCGAACTCTGCAAACTGTAAGTGAACACACACCGACAAAGCGTATTCGTAGTTCTGTAAATATGCATGAAAAATAGTTAAAATGCCGTAATATTCTAGAAGCATAAATTCCATGACGAGTTCGAGCGTCCCAGCTTTTAGGCTCACTCGATGAATTCTTTACCGAGACAAAACGCAAACCTGAAAAGCTGTAATTCAAACTGGTTGAAATGAATTTGTTGTTGGTTAGTTATTAGAGCCGCCTCCTCGCCTACATTTTGAGTTATTGCTCATTTTACTTAGCAACGAATGAACGAACAGTGATTCAGGGTGTGAGTTGTTGGAGACAATACCAGAGAGACGAGTAACAGTTTGAAACGAACACGCTCGAACGTCATTGTGTTTGAGTGGAATATGCTCCTTTAAAACCTATTTGTTTGAGCGAATTCGTTAACTATTATTTTAAGTTTGAGTTGTAGAGAAGGATTGCAATTTTTACAAATGAGAATACAGTAAATAAGTAAAAATATGAGTTAATTGTTAAAGTTTATAATTTACAATAATTCCAAGATTCGTTAAATACCGTGATTCTAGCGCAAATTACTAAAAATTAAACACACAAAAAATATAGATATAAACACTACATATTCACTTTGTTAGAGTAACTCCATTCCAATTGTTATACCTACATATGTAAAAGAAAAGAGTCAACTAGAATAACGAAAATAAATGGGATAAGTAAATATAAATGTGTATGACCTATTTAATGGTCAGGACACATTATTGTTAGAAAAAGATGTTCACGAAGCTTGATTAAGATTTCTTAAAAATATACCAATATTTAAATCCTGAACAAAAAGAAACGTCGGAGACCTCATAAAGTATTTATACCATAGAACGAGTAGCTTTATCAATTGACAATTTAATAGCTAATATCTTGTCAGTTTTAAAATTAGTAGGATTTTAAAGTTACAGTCAATTCAATAAAAGAAGCTGTGCGCAATCCTTCCGTTTTTACAAAAAGAGAAAATACAATTTTTTTTTAAACTTAGAAAAAAAAGTTTGAATCTAGTGTTTTATATTTTGAACATTTAAATATTCATTTTATCCATATATAAAAAAATCGATTATTTTTAAGACATTCTTTTTAGTTTCTATATGAAATGCACCCGATAAAGGGTATCATAACTAGCGCCTAAACTAAAATTCACTATTGTTTTTTTTTTTTTTTTATAAAGTCCACTCGAGACGCTGAGGTCCTCATATTCATTCATTGGTAGGTTAAAAAGGTATAGTCTAAATGAAAGGTCTGGTTGCAGTCCGATTTGGCTTACATATACATATATAGACTGTAGCATGATAATATATATTAAGTAAATGTTATGCATTCGGATTTGTTGAACAGTTATTGCGATTTAGGTTTAACATAAAAGTTCACAGGCAAACCTGCACGAACTAAATACTACCCGTTTTTTTTTTTAGAAAGTTATCACAGTATTTGTACTTTTGAACTACCCTTAATGGGGGGAACGTGGTTATTATATCCATTTGTGACTTAAGTTATCGCTCGTACGTACGGATAGACAAAAGACAGAAGGCTAGATAAACATCCGAAAATCAATTTGGTTTGGCCATTGAGATCATTAATTTCTAAAATTACTCCCAAAATGGAATTTGGAAAAACAAACTTCTAAAATAATAATTATTGACTTTACAGTATTGTTRCAGAATATATTTTAATACTTAGGAGATAATGTATGGCCAAATATTGGAGCAGCATAAATTTTATTTTCGCTAAAATCCTCAAAAGTACCAATGTTGGTTGTATGTTATATAGTATATGTATATCCACAATTTGAATACGATCATTCTTCATTTCTTTACATTACCTTTCCACAGCTTTCATTCTCACCTACTATTCTCCAACTCAAAAAAAAAAAAAAAAAAAAAAAAAAAAAAAAAAAAAAAAAAAAAAAAAAAAAAAAAAAAAAAAAAAAGGTGAGGACAGAAGCCGCGATTTTAAAATACAATTCATAGCAATCACATTTATTTAAGTAGCTATCACAGAAATTTCAGCCTCATATCACCCTTAGCACATATCCACACATCACAAAATTAAACAGTGTACTCTGTTTTGCATTCGTAATAATTTAATCAAACAGGTGCCGCTTAATTATACATATTGTTGTTCAAACAAACAAAGAGAAACAATGATTGCTTGCAACTCAAAAAATTAACCTACAAAAAACACTGCAACGCCGCTGCCAATCTTAAGCGTACTCGTATTCAGTCCTCTAAGTAAAAATATAAATACGAATCGAATAAATTCTATTCATTGTTCGTTAACTGGAAGATTTTGGCTATTGAAATTTTCTAACATCAAGTATGTATACACAAGTATATAGATATATGAAAATAGATTATTTGGGGTGGCAGTGGCGACGCCAATACGGCAGCCGTAGTTGAAATGGCTTTTGATCTTTTTCGGTTATAGTGCGCGGTCGGCTGTTTTCTGTTTGTATTTCTGGGTTAAGCGCCTACTTTCGCGCAGCCTTTGATGTTTATTATGGAAGCGTCGCGACGTAGTCAAGAGGCAGGAATGACTGTGAATGTGCGTATGTTTGTCGGGTGGTCGGCCATCAACTGATGCTTTATTAGCTTAGCAAGTGTYGAAATGCGATTTGTTGTAGCCGTTAAATGTAAACTGTTGCTAATGGCTAATTAAACAGTGGGAGTGGCAATTGAATTGAGTTTTATCAGATTTATGCAGCAAATGTGAGTATCGCCGTTAGACTGTTGTGATGTGTGAGAATACTGAAAAAGTAAAGTAAGAAGAAGATAACAACAACAGTTTACATCAGCTATGCCCAATGTAACATCGACTTACAGTATGTTATAAAAGTATTTTATAATTTTTAAGTGAACAAATTAGTTGATTTTTAAAGTTTTTAGGCTTAAATATTTTTGGTTAATTTTAATTAAAACGAAAGAAGTGATAATACTGAAATTATAAACGAATAAGTATTTATTAAATAAAACAATAATTAGTGTTTATTTCATATTTTTGGAAAGCAACAAAAAATTAAGAACTTTAATATTCTTTAAAATTTTTAGAAAAAAACATTTTTTCGAACTCACGTCTTAATTAATTTAAAAATTTTATATTTTGACTCGATCCCGCCCCGTTAAAAATGATCTGTAAGATCCTATTGGGAAGAGGCTCCTAAATATTGATGTCAAGTGAGTAAGACACATACCGCGTCATTTTGTAAATGGAGTTTCCAGTATTTGTTTTTTGTATTTGCTTAATATCATATCAAATTAGTATCCAAAAATTATAGTTAGCACGCATCATATTAGCACATTACCTCGCACACGACAACATATAGGTATAGTCGTTCCGACTGATAATCCTTCTCCTGAAGATCATGTAAATAATAATTGTATTCATGGAACTTTCCAAATTAATTTTTTTTGTCTGAAAGGAAACTGAAATTCTGAAGATAAAACTGCATGTACTAACCTGAGTACGCAAATTTACAGCACACTTTTCGACTTAAATTAACAGAAAATAACAAAAACCCTATAACTGTCTAATCTTACTACACACTTTATTTACCAGTGATTGTTCAAACAAAGGTGAGAAAATCAGAAAATAATCTGAAGCAATTGTATTAGGCTGATGAAGGTGTGCAAACCTGGTGACGTGCAGTGTATATACGCTTCGAACATGAAAACATAATTAAAATATGTAGATACATCTTCGTTATTAGCCAATAATGTAATGTTTATGTAAATAGATCAGTCATCATTGAAAAGAAATCCCATAGTTGAGATACATACATTAGTAAAATTTCCTTTTTTATAAGATAAATTTGTAGCTCTGCACAACCCTTGCTTGTTTAGAAACTTGCTCTATTTTTTATATTGAACGTTAGAAAATTACTAAATGATACTTTTCCTAATTCTAATAATTTTGATTTATTACTCATAGTACACATAGTAAATATTAAAGTACTTCGGAGATATAGTAAGTTACACGACGTTATAACTGTTATACAACTCTAAAATATTAACTGGTAAATTAGTTTAATATTTAGACACTGCAGTTTTAACGAGAATTATAGAAATTGATAAATTTAAATGCATAGTGGCGCGGATCAAGCATAGCATTGATAGAATCGTTCAAGGTCTTAGAGAATGTATAATGGTATGATAATTAATACATAATATTATTGAAGAATAGTGAACCCACTACGGAATATGAATTATTTTATCATTCTTCATGTCAATTTCCCAGGAGGGAAAAGGGAACAATTAATATCACTATATCTGCAAGCTAGGTAAGAGAAATCTAAGGCTTAGAAATATATATTTCAAACATTCCTTATTTTATTTAAAGAATTGCGCGAATTTTTTGAAAGACTTCCATATTTATATCATAATGTTAAATTTTAAGCATGACTGGAATTGAAATGGATTTCAACATGCTTGATATTTCAAATTGTAGTCATGAGAATTTCAAGAATAAATAAAAAGCATATAATTTAAGATGATTTTATGTACTAATGCCATGATATTTAGCGAAACATTCTTTTTCATTGCAGTAAAAAATATATCGAAGTGTTGGCTTTTCGAATGCGGTTCGGACTAAACATTTTTTAGGCTACACCTTTCAAATGTTCCTCTGTTTTCAAAAAATACTAACCAATGTACTGTCAATTTAATTAATCGTACATCGACTCACGATATTTCTTGTTTGACAGTTTAGGTACCAGCATTCTTCTATCATTGAACTCTGAGTAGTCACTACAGTAGACTTGGTGCGAAACCGATCCATGGTCGAATAACCGACTCTGCAGAGCGTATGTGTCGACCGAATAATGTAAGCAGCGTGTAAGTACGATGTCTCACGTAATCTGAACCATTAAATATATTTGCTCGATTTACAATCGTTGTTCCGCAGTAAGTCTGTTCGTATGAAATGGAAACCCAAATTATGTATAAATTTAGATAAATAAATAATGTAAGGGTGAACTACAAGAAAAGGTTTCCCCCCCCCCCCAAAAAAAAAAAAAAAACATCCGTTATTTAATATTCTTCAGTGTGTCCGGAAATATTAGTAAGCTTTAAAGTGTCTTCAATATTATATGTGATTATATGCCGCTTACACTATTTCGGACTAGTTTATGTTAATATATAATATAAAAAGTATAAAGCGTACAGTGAATTTAACTTAGGATCCAAAATGGGTAATAAAGTTGTTAACAATATATTCGCAGAAATTTAGATTTAATTATGACCGACACTGGCATATTCAGTGTTACAATCACAATATCAGTATTTAAGCAAATTTAAGAGCATTTATTTAAATATTTCTGTCCCAAAATGCAACAAAACTATACAGCAGTCCCAGCAACACGCAAGCGGAGCGATTGTCACTTGTCGTTGATAACATGCGTTTGGATTAACCAATTACAATGCAATTTTAATTTGCAACTTCGCGCAATTTTATTATGAAAATGGCTTTATGGCCTCTGTGGTGTATGTGAAATCAACAACTGAGTGACTACAGATAAGAGAACAGTCACGCTGACTTACGTGCCAATATGCGAACGTCCACATACAATTCTCAATATTGGAATTCTACATACATATATCGAGCATGCAACTGCGCCCACGTTCATCTGAATGTGCACTCGCGTAAGTATTTTCTGGGCAGCCAATCAATGATTTGAGTGGTGTTGCGTTTTCCACTTTCCGAATATAATGGAAAATATAGTAATGATACTATAACGATCGCAATAATAACAAAAGGTACAGAACAAGTTAAAAGCTTTGGGAAAATGTGAAATGAACCATGCAAAGTGGTAGCCATAGCAGTAACGGATTTAAGTTCTTTATTAACACTCTATAAATCACGAGACGAGGTGTTGATGAGCTCCTGCCGATGCCGTTATCGACGTTGGTGGTATTGATAGTTTTGTTTAGTTGCTTGGTAAATACATGTACATATATGACACTCGCCTTTGCGAGCGTACTACTACATATGAATTGTAGTTGGCTAGTGCAGTGCAGAGATGTTGACTCTTGTCCATTTTGTACGATAGCAAACTCTGTATAACGTTGCCGAACAATAATAAATGCTCATCATAATTCAAAGCATTGATCATAGCAATCGTTGCAAACAAATAAAGGCATGCACGAGTGCTGCGGATAGTGGACTAAAGCTAAGCGTATATACAACAGCATAAGACTGTCAATATTGAAAATAATTAAGAGCCAGCAGGTTACTCATGGAATGACAAATAGTTGACGCTTCATTGGCATAGGAACTATGGCGGTTGGTGTCATATATGACAATTTAAATGTTCCTCTACTTAATTTCAGGATACGAAGAGAGAAAAATTGGTAAGCGCCACAGTTTTAAAACACACTTGTACATAAATACAAATACATGTTTATGTAAAGATGTGCATTTGGTTTTGATTTACAATCATTTCACAACTCAAAGACATAAAACACTTAATAAAACAGTAAAGGATACTCGTGGAAAACGAATAATTTGCGCCTTTTTTGCGATGTTTATTGTTCGATCCATTCACCACTCTAGCAACCAGTTGCTAAAGATTATTATAGGTTTGAAACCTAACGGTTGTAGGTATAACCTAAAACTAAGCAAGATAGATAGAGGGTTTTACAAATTTATAAATGATCAGGTTGACGAGAAAAGTTGAAATCCAGTTGTCTGTGCGTCTGTTCGTCAGTGCAAGCTGTAACTAGAGTAATATCGATAATTTTGAGATAAGTGTAATTTGGTATGTCGTTTCTTTAGAACAAAAAAAAGTCGAGTTCATAGACGGGYGTAATAACATATAAATTGCAATAACTAAGCTCAAAATTAAGTTATAAAGCTGTTATTTAGTGCAGAAAATTCAGTAGCAAGGGCCATCTGTGGGCAAAATTTTGTCAAAAAGTGGGTGTGGTCCCGCCCTTTAACAAGTTTGATGTTCATATCTCCTAAGCAACTTAGGCTACAGCAACCAAATTTTCTGAGTGCAAATCATATAAGAAGCTCTACCGACAGTGCGAAAATGGTTAAAATCGAAGAATAACCCCGCTCAATCTCAATATAACACATGCGAGAGACATTAAATTCTACCACATAGATGGTATAAGAGAGCTTTATTGAAAACGGCAAATATTTAGATCCCGTGCGTGTTTTATTCATAACAGTGTACCTTTGTGCCTAAAATGGCTAATTTTAGCGAAAACTTGGTCTAGCTCCTTTATAACTAATATCAGGATTTTCGAACATTCGGATGACTTTACTCTATATAATTGGTTTTACACCTTAARTATTTTCCTGATTCCTTGATTCTTACAAGTTGCAACTGTGCGGCTGCTCCGAACTTAGCCCTTCCTTATTTTTTTCTTGTATGATTTTATAGTTCCTGCCATATTATGACGATCCCATTAATTGATACCTTTAGTCCAATTTCATACTCGTATTTTCTTTTYGAATCTTAAAGTTTTTTAGCATCTTTTGCATTCTCCATAGATTGATGCTTTATCCCTTTCTCTTCTTTAAGCACCAACAAAAAAATCCGATAATAATATCGTCTAGAGTACAATGCTTTGGCAAATCATTTATTTTAAAATTGATCATGCATTTATCCCTGAGTTGATTTAAAAAAAATCTTCACTCACCTCATACAATTAACAATCATATGGACCAAAGCCAGCTGGATGTTTGAAAATCCTGGTAATGATTATATGGAGGCTATTGGGTCAAGGTTTCGCCCAATTGTTTTTTTTTGTTAGGCACAAAAAAATACTGTTATGAGTAAAATACTGGTTCTGGAACTTTCATTGAGATATCTCAAATTTTGGCCGATATATACAGTATAAGGTCACTTGGAGCTTCGAAAATTGTCAGAAAAGGATTGAGTAAAAATTTAAATATCTTTTTGAAACTTGATATGCGATCAATATGAAAGATAACAATTGAAATTCAGAAAGGTAGGAGAATCCTTTTCTAACAATTTTCGATATATTTCGATATATATCGATATATATATATATATATATATATTTATATATATTATATATATTTATATACAACCTTATATGTAACCTTATATTTATTTGTAGCAAAGTATAAAGGAAAACGAGAGCAAATCTCATAAAATTCTGGATAGTGTCCGGAATTGGGAGCACAAATCCTCTATTCAAAATCGAACTTGTACCCATGGCAACAAAACCACTATAGATCAGTGTTATCGCTCAATTCTTAATTTTTTAGGTTGGCTAACATCAACGAAAGTTCAACTGAAATTAGTTGAAGTTTATAATACCAACAAAAAAGGTAGTGTTGATCTGAAATTTAATTGATTCAACTTCACTTCAACTTAGTAATGTTGAAACCAGTAATATTGTTAAGTGTTAATCCTTTTGAATATGAGTACTTTTTTAATAAAATGATCTTAATAATTTTCAAAAATTATAAATTTTGTTGTTAAAGCAAAATAGGCTTAGAAGGGGTAAATTGTCTCGGGCCGACCCCGTATTGAGTAACCATTAGCAATATAATTTCATCTATATAACAGCAGGATGTATAAATAATTTGCTTTGGTCAATTCGTTGATATTTTAGTTCTCAAATTATTCGTTAATATTCATACATTTCTTACAATATTTACTGCGTAAAGAATAATTGTCCTGATTTACTTAAACGATGTACAATCATTTTCCGCAAAGGTTTAATTTTCGATTCAAATACAACGTTCATTCCATATTACATTACAGTTCCACTTAAATTACAGTTACAAAATCATTTACCGTGTGTTTCTTTACTGAATTTTATGTAACTACTGTCATCGCACCCTTGTTTGCTTCTGCTATCAGCTCTTACCTTACCAACAAACTTTACGCATTGTAGCTCAATTCTCAAGTTTAAGTATATTAGTAAGAAATCCAAAGAGGATGCCCGAAACGGTAGATTCAAAGATTTTGTGCAGTGTGACATGAAGTGGCTGAGTGTATTAGGTAACAAAATTTTTACGAGCTCATTATGGCTCATTTCGGCGATTGTTGTGATCCTTTTATGCGCCATCGAATGACTCTGAAACGGTTATGAGACTATTTTGTCTGTCGCTACTGCAACACCCCTGTCCGCCGCTATAGCTTCAACACATTTAGTCGGTTACTATTTGTGTTGTTTTTGTTATTGCTCCTCATACTTTTGCTTGTGTTGCTCGGTGAATGGTGTACGCAATGATTTTGTGTTCTTAAAAGGATAGCTAAGTTCRTTTGAGCATAGTTGTGCAAATATTGAATGAAATATACATACATGTACTCTGAGGATGTGTACAGACATTATAGTTCAAATATGTTTGTTGTGCGTAGTTTAAAATATGGTTTTCCAGAAAAGAGCTTTGTGGCAGTCTTTGAATGATTTTATTTTTTGATCATTATCATCTGGAAATTATGGAAAGCATGGATGGCAACACTTTTATATCTATGTTTGAGAATAAAAATTAAAACCGCTTAAATGTTTTTAGTAGTTGTAAATAATAGAAATTCCATAACGTAGTCGTTAAAAGTGGTTAAATTTTTTAAATATTTATATCATATAAAAAAAAAACATCATAAAGTCCAACATCCTGCACGTCGCTATACATTTAAAATGTTCTGTTGTCGAATATTATTAAAAACTGTCATTACAATCGAATGAAGCTCGATTTGAATAATTTGAGCGGAGTTCTATGGAAAAGTTTTGATGTGGTATTCAAGAGAAATGAATTGAGAACGAATTATCATCGCATAATATAAAATAAAGTTGTTTTCTTCTGTCTATATGCCCATTTGTATGCTTCAATCTTTCAAACTATGCAA